ACATTTTGATGCAAATATATATTTATTTTTAGGTGCAAACACTGCAGTTTCACCCATTTGAAACACAGACTCTCATTTCTGGCTCTTATGACAAGTAAGAACAAGCTTGTTCTAATCTATTGCTTCTATCACATTAGGTAATATATAAATCATATGATGGCAGAGATAAATAATAAAATGTAATACAAGTAGTCCTCAAAGTCTTTTATGACAATCCCTCCCCAAAGATAATTAATGACCTTTGGTGGCCAGCCCCCCCCCCCCCGGTCATGTGACAGCATTTCAAGCACCCAACCTGCATTATGGCCATTTGCAGTGTCTTGTAGTCAGAAGACCACAATTTACAACACATAGTATTTGGTTCATTTTAGGAAAAAAGTCCCAGATCAAACAATGGATTTGGTTTACCATCTCAATTTTTGTTTAACCACCACAAAACATATCATAAAATGGGGTTGGTTATATGGGTGACCCATTTTACAGCTATTGGGACTTATGACCATAATAAGTAGGTTCCATTAAAATTGTAAGGCAAGGATTATCTGTATTTCCTTTATAGGATATTTGACACAGATACTTTAACGGTGTCTTCTTTAAAGCATATACTATAGTTTTGGTATGATTTATGGAAGTGCTTCTCTGTGTATTCTCAACAGGGACAGTCAACCTGATTTTAGCATCAGGTTGCATTAGCCTTCTATGCATACTTAATTAGAAACAAAACCATTTGTAGCCAGTAATTCCACTTAATAGGCTTGCATTTGCTGTTCATTACTTTTATAACCAGTGCGATTGCTGTGACTTTTACTAATGACTCAGCTGGAGTAGGAGTCTTTTATTAGGTTAGAAAAAAAATGACCTCTGTGTCTCATGGGTAAATTCATTTTAGTTAATAATGTTTAAAAAATCTGGTGCCAAATTTGAATAAATATTTATTGATACTTTTCAGATCAGCCATTTTATATGACTGTAGAAGTCCACAGGACAATCATAGAACCTGGAGATTTAGTGGACAAGTTGAAAGAGTGACTTGGAATCATTTTTCACCTCATCACTTCTTAGTAAGTACAATAGTTCTTTGTGTTTTGTCTTATCCATTCTATTGTATGCATTTATGCAGGCTATGCAGCATTTTAGTTCAATTTGTTGTATGCCATCCAGAGTCACATTGTTTGAGTTAGACAGCCCTAAAACCTATTAAATAAGTAAGATAGAATGCCTCACAGGATCAGGGGTGAGGTGCATTGCATTTGCACCTTTTCCAGTGATGGGATTCAAATATTGTTGCCACTGGTTCGGTGGGTGTGGCTTGGGCGCGTTTTGTGCACGTGCACATACTTTGCATGCACGCGCGTGCCAAATGCACACTTTGTGCAGGCGCAGAGGCATTCTAATTCACCTCTTGCAAGCCTACACGATCCCAGTCACTTCAGCAGCTGCCGCGCGGCACTATTCTGTGCCGCGCAAAGGAGCTGCGCATCAAATTCAGCAGATAAGTGAGTATTGGAACCCGGGCCCAAGCCGCCGATTCGGTCTCCACTGCTCATTGCTCCTACCGGCTCGCCAGAATTAGGCTGTTGAGCTGTGGTGGCGCAGTGGTTAGAATGCAGTATTGCAGGCTGCCAGGGGTTTGATCTTCACCTCAGAGGCTCAAGGTTAACTCAGCCTTCCATCCTTCTGAGGTTGGTAATATGAGGATCCAGATTGTTGGGGGAAGTTTGCTGACTCTGTAAACCACTTGGAGAGGGCTGTAAAGTGATATATATGTCTAAGTGCTATTGCTGTTGCTATAGCTGCAGGGCAATTCTTGGAAAAAGTTGATTAAAAGATTTTTCCAGTAAGACACCCTAGCAACAGGTGTCCCTAGGGAGCATCTTTTTTCTTTAGAACCTGAAATGTCGCATAGCCCTAATGTATCATCCAAGATTTTCAAAGCAGCCAGCATATTTTAAGATATAAAATAATCAATGTATATTTTATTAAAACACTTCCTAGTAAGTGAAAGTCTTGCTGCTTGGGATTTGATAGTTCTTTATTTCATTAAGAGATGTAATGGAATTAAGTAAGGTAGAGGTTTTTGACAGTGAAGTCTAAAATCTACTCATATATAGCAAGTTATGCTGCCATACATAATAGATCATTCTGATCTGTTGCTTGTTATCAAATCAGGAATAACGGTACCTGCATGGCTAGAGTTGGCCACCAAACATCCAGCTGCTTGTTCTCTGTGCAGTCTTTGCCAGCTTTGGCACTGTCCTTTCAGCTTCCAGAATTCTCTACAATGGCCCTTCAGGCTAGATGGTTCAGTTCTGGGATTTCGCGTCCATGTACCTCTGAAAAATCATTCAGATTGAGAAAGGTGGCCTGCCTATTGATTTTATTTTTAAAATCTTTGGAAATAATTTCTTGTAGGCTAGCACAGAAGATGGATTTGTATATTGTCTTGATGCTCGTTCCCACAAACCAGTCTTCACAATGAAAGCTCATGATGAAGAAGTGTCTGGTAAGCATTTCTTTTCCCAGTCAGGATCCTAAGGAAATCCCATTCGAGTCAGATATCTTATATAGTGAATATTTTTGAGGCAAATTTATATTTGCCATTCTACAATGCATAAAGAACATCCATTGGTTGGATCATAGGGATAGTAAAAGAGGTTCTGCCTTTGAACTCTGTTATATGGGGTTTAGCAGGGTTTGGCACTCTCTTCACTTCTGTTTAATATCTAAATGAAATCACTGGGTGAGATCATTCATTGTCATGGAATGAACTGTCATCAGTTCTCTGATGATATCCAGGTATTTATCTCTGTCCCTGGCGAACTGAGCAGTACTTCTAATGCCTTGCTCCAGTGTCCGAGGCTGTTGAAGTCTGGATGGGGAACACTAGGCTTCAGAGTTGAAGAAGATTGAGCAACTTTAGATTTTGGGATCTCTTGGATTTGGAACTTTACCATCTTTGGTTCTGGATGGGGCTGTGATATTCCAGAGACCCTGTGTTCAATCTGGAGCTCCTATAACCACAACTCCTGCCTGAGAAGCAGATTATAGGAGGGCCTTTGCACAGCTTTGTATTGTGCCCCAGTTTTGCCATTGCACGGACAGTTACATGCCCCCACTTCCAGGAAGGTGAACACTGTACCTTTATTCTGCAAATTGCACTGATTGCCAGTTTATTTTAGGTACAATTTTAGGTATTGCTTTTCATCTTTAAAGCCCTACATTGCATGGAACCAAGTTACTTGATGGGCCGCTTCTCCCTTATTATAGCTACCAAACCCATGTCAAGCAGGAGGGGTATGCTTTGAGTGTCATCAGCAAAGAAATTCCATCTGGCAAGACCCAGGTGGTGTGTCTTTTCTACTGTGCGGCCTCCCTTCTGGAACATCATTCTCTCTGAGGTTGGCCCCATCCCTGTCCTACTTTCCAGAAGGTCCTTAATACCTTCCATTGACTTGGGGATCCCATAATGAGCCTGCAAGATGGTTACGTAATGTCAACTGATTGTTCTTCCATATTCTTAGTTGGGTGTGTGTTGTATGGTTTTAATTGTTAATAATGGCAATGGAAGAAGATACATTTCAGTTGGCATTGCTGCACCATATACGTGAGGTGCCTTTAAATCATAGATTCCCTAAAAGAATGAGGCCTATATGCAAGAGTGTTCTTCTGTTTTCTTCCTGGCTTAATACTAAAAGCACCTGCTTATGTTTTCCAGGACTACAGTTAAGTAGCCAAATCAAAGGATGTCTTGTCACAACGTCTTCTGATAAATGTGTGAAAATTTGGGACATCCTAGGAAACAAGCCTTCTTTGGTCTATACCAGAGATATGAAAATGGTAATTTCAGTCTTTTTTCTGCAACTATACCTATAGAGTCTTACTTTTATGGAGTGAATGCAGAATGAAACTGGTGAGAATCCTGGTCTGTATAGTATTGTAATTTAATAAATTAGTCTTGTGTATATTTATGTTGTGAGTATACTAATTACATTAATACTTACATGAGACAAATAGCCTGCATTTTATGAACTGTATTTCTTAATACATAAAGTCTAAAGATGTCGGATATGCACAACCTCTGCTAATTTTGATTTTAGTTTACTGATTTGAATTAGAAATGTCTTGTTGAGAGAGCTACTGTATTGAGGCAGCAGAAAATTAGAAGAGAATGTGTCTTCTGCCCACAGGGTGCCCTGTTTTGTGCAGCTTGCTGTCCAGATCTACCATTTGTCTATGCCTTTGGAGGAGAGAGGCAGGGATTACAACTCTGGGACATGAGCACAATTTCCACAGGTGACTGTTCTCATTCATTTTCTAGTTATGTAATCCTAAGAAATAGGTCAATTTCTTCTTTAAAGTCAGAGTTTGTAACCTTTCTCTCTTTGGCATTACAGTGAATGATGTTTTTGGAACTCGACAGAGGCTAGCAGTTACCACATCAAGTTCTGAAGCAAGTAATTCTGCTAATAGCAGTCGCAGCTCTGGAGGAGCTGCAATGGAATCATGAAACGAGTATACATGTTTTAATAAAAATACTAAGTAAATCAATTTTTTAAACCTACTTTTAAGGTCATGTTACCATGAAGTTTGGCCTTCATCTTAAAATTTTTCTGAGGTGTTAACCAGCTAGAAATTTGAATATGCCAAAGCACAAAATCACTAGCAATAATATAAGAAATTAATCTTCTTAACATATTCATTTGTATTAAAAAAGATAAACTTAGGCATTCTGTTTGCACGTAACACTTAAATCCTTTGACATTACCTATCTGGTTTAAAAGCTATTTAAAAACCAGCTTTCTGAGAACTTAAAGGAAGCGCTCTATATCATGGAAGGTTTCAAGTATGTTTTTAACCAGGACTGGATACCTTGTGAGAGCATGATTCTCTGATCTTATACAAATATATTTATAATATAGGCATATGCTAATTAATAAAATCTAATCTGGCATAGATAAAATAGCTAAGATTAACAATATTGGGTTTTTCTCTCCTCTCCCCCCTCCACATTTGTATTCAATTCTTGGACAGTGCCTGGTTTTTCAGAAGTAGTTTGCCATTGTCTCCTTCCTAGGGCTCAGAGAAAGTGATTGGCTCAAGGTCACCCACCTAGCTTGGTGCCCAAAGCGGGACTAGAATTCATAGTCTCCCAGTTTCTGATGCCTTAATTACTATACCATATCTCTGATTCAGACCATTAATTTAGATATACTTTTACCTAGGAGAACTATCAATGTCAGCATAGTTAATATTGGCTGAAGATCATAATGTATAGATAAACAAATTGTTTAATGAAGAAAAAAAAGTTATGGTGAAAAAGCAATTTCTACATACTGGGGAAAAACTCAAAGGAGGAAAAAACAGTACACAGATTAAAAAGCAGTATTTTAATTTTCTGTAAGAAAACAAATCTTAATGATACCTTCATTCCATAAATATATTAGCAGCAGAATTTCCCTTTCAAAATAAATGGTTATCAGTTACAGTATAGGCAAAGTTACATGACTAACCTTGTAAAATTCATGCTAAAACTAAGCTTGCATTTCAAACACAAGCATTAGCATGCCTTACTCAGATTCCCATACTATATTTTTGTTTTCTAATTCTCCGGAAATGCTCAGTTGTCAACAAATGAGCAAATAATTCATTGATGTACAACAAATATCAATTTAATGAACTAAGTTAAGCTACAAACTTATTTCCAATTAAAAAAAACACTTTACTGTCATGAAAAAAATTTGGTTTGGGCATACCTTCACATTAAGCATATCTTTAACAGAGACATCTGGTGCTATTTTAGCTGTATCCATCATGCATCAACCATCATCAATGATACCATTTTAATAGATTAACATGGTAATTATATTGTTTTAATGTTCCTGGTAATCTCTCTGAAAACAGATAAGCCATTTTCATTATAGATGAGAATTTGGCCACTGAATGTAAGTTTAAACAATTTTAGGAATTGTCTTATTTGTGTCAAGACAGTGTATCAGCTGTCACATACATGGTGGTTCTGAGTTGGCAATTTTCATTTGTTGTAGAATTTATCAATTCTTCTTCTTCTGAAGAATCCTCCTCCTCCTCTTCTTGGGCTGAGAGACTAGAGGTTGGTCCTTTACAAATTTTTAGATGGCGAGTAAGGTGGTATTTTGTTAAATAAGCCTTGGAACACTTTTCACACACATAATCCCTTTTTCCTTCATGAGAGTTTAAATGTTTCTTTAGGTGATTTGTCCTTAAGAATAGCTTCTCACATTGTGGACATTTGATTTGACGTTCTCTAAACAGGAATGGGTATGGAGAAAACAGATAGCATTTTAGTCATGAAAACATTTTTTTATATTTGAGAGTTCTTTAGAATTTGAAGGCTTGTGAGACATAGATTTCACAGTTCTAATCTTAAATTTCCCATTTAGCATACCGAAAACCACACTTTTGTATGCATAAGGCTTTGCCATCATCTGCACAGTCAGCATTCGGTGGGAAATAATCCAGAGGTGCTCTTTGTTCAACATCACATACTTAGAATTTCATCCTGCAAGAATTCCTATCTTCTGTTCCAAATAACAAATCTTATATATGCAGTTGTCAACATTGATCTCTACCACTCATCATGGGTTAGGCCTCATATGCTTTTTTGATAAAGAGAATTAAATACCAGCTTATCAGCCTTGATCTTGACACTATTCACCTTAATATATTTTTCTTCTGATAAATCTGGGTTTCTTCTGAGAACTGTCCTATCACAATCATGAGTCTTTTAAATATGGACCTCTTTAGTTTCTAAGCAATAAATTAAACACACAAAGAAACACAAATAATTTGGAATTTCTCCTGAATGACTCACTGTGTATGGGTGAGCACATGCTGCTTGAGATCTTGGCGCCGCATAAATAGTTTATCACAATAGTCACATTTCAGATTTTTTTCTCCAGTGTGGATAACCATGTGTGTCTCTAGGTGTGCCTTCTGAGTAAAAGATTTTTCACAGAGTGCACAGCGATAGTTTTTCTGACCTGAAAATAGACAAAGATTTACATAAGATCATTTCATCCCATCCCATCCACAGAACAGTAAATATAGATTGAAATTCCAAGCTATCAACATGTTTGATATTACAGTAGGGCTATACAATAGATTTTAGTGCTGCAAGTAACTAATAGCACGGAGTATGCATGAATTTTATGTTCTGCTATAGACAAGAAATTCCACATAAGTCTCCAATTCTCCAAAGATTTCCCAAGTTGCTTTCCTAAAATTACTAAAGAATCTATACCAGTGATGGCGAACCTTTTCAGCAAACTGGAACGCAAGTGGACTGGAGTGCTGGAAACCTGAAGACCAGCTAGCTGGTGTGCATGCGCCAGCCGGTCTTCAGGTTTCCGGTGCTCGAGCACATGCAAAGACCAGCTGGCATGCTTCTTCAACTCCAGCAAAAGGGCAAAAGAAAAATAGTTTCCTAGTGAAAAAGTCACTTAAAAATTTGACATCCAAAATCAAAATCAAATTGGTTTCTAAAAAAAGTGTATGTCATACATATGCAAATAAGGCCTTATTCTAAGAAGGAACAAAACAAGACCAGTCTTCACTGTGAAAAAATAGTTCAATCAGTTCCAAATACTTGTTTGGAAAAAACTTGAAATATTCTTCCTCACTTACCTGTATGAATTTTAAGATGGGTACGCAGATTGCTGGGATCGCTGAATGCCTTGCTACAGAAATCACATTTGTGTGGCTTCATACCTATATGCCCCATGAAGTGAACATGAAGCTTAGAAGGTGATATAAAAGCTTGAGGGCACATAGAGCATTTCCATTTCCTTTCCTTACTGTGTCCTGATCCATGGGTACTGCTGTGTCCCTGACTGGGGAAGTGGCTGTGGAGATGACTACTCAGATGGACCTTAAACTCTGCATAGGAGGCACATTCTTTTCCACAGTGACAAGTATGCACATCAGGATGCTCAGGAACACCTTTTAGAGAGATAATTGTTTATGATGCAGCAGAAGGTATGAACCAGAAAAATAAATAGGAAGGTAAGAAAAGGCATTTTAAATTTAAAAGACATAAGCTTCAGTCTTGTATTTTGTTGAAATATGAAGAAAGAATAACTGCTTACCAATCTGCTGAGCATAGTCACGACTATAGTAGAAAAGGAGCTCCTGGTCTGGAGAGATGTCGCGGGAAGTGCAGAAGTAAATCTTTCCATCATGAGGGTAAGCTACCAGATTCTGTTCTTCTCGGTTCCTATTTCACAGAGAGGAAAATCTTAAAATGTATCACCTATATGATTTTCATCATAAATATCCCTAAATCATTTAATATTCCACACTGAAGCTAATGCTAAAACAATTTGCAGCAACATCACTGGACAGAACTAAACAGATGCTTTTGTGCTGTGGCGCTGGAAAAAACTTGCTGAGAATATTTGAACCATAAGAACCAACCAGATGAAGTAAAACTACTGCAGACAGAGCAGTAACACTGAAACAAAAATATTCTGGACATGTAATGTGGCAGCAAGAGTCATTGGAAAAGACTGAAAAAGAAACTGAAAGACGACAAAGTGGCTAGATACTATCTCTGGTTACACAAGCACAAGGTTGTAAGAATTCGCAGAAGTTATTGGAAGAGAATCCTGACATTAGGTCCTTTATGCTGCAAAGAATAAAAAAGGGCTGAATGAATGAACAATGAGGTTCACTAATCTTACTTATCAGAAACAATTTATTTTTAATTGAAGCATCAGGCTGTTAAAACTGTTTTATTGTACTTCAGTCCAGGTATAAGATAGCAATTATCAACTTTGGTGGAGGCTGAAATGATAAGTATTTTTATTTCTACCTAGAGATCATTCTTTTTTTACCTCCACGATAAAGGATTTAGTATTTGATCAGCTACAAGACATGCATTTCATTTTTTTCTTTTTTTTGCTAAAGCTCTGATGCTCTGTTCCTAAAATACTCTACTAGTTATTTAATCTTATTGTGTGCACTACATATATATGTGAATATTAAAACTTGTTCCAGAGACTATTACCAAAACAAACAATTGAATGAAATATTTAAGTTTCTGCATTTTAAATCTTAATCTAAGGTCCAAGGGCCATGTGTAGCTTCAAAATACTTTCACATATTGCTTACAACTGTAATTTTAATGTGGCTGGGTGGAAAATATTTTACATGAATGTGCAATGATGACATAAACTATAGAGTATTTTACTTTTTATTTCATTAAATCAGATACATTTTTGTCCAACTCCATCCATTTTTGAGAGTGCAGGCCAAAGCACACAGTTCAAAGGCTAATTACACTTCAAAAAAGGCTGCACATCCCTGTTCCAAATGAAATCATTCTGTTTCACAGAATAGATGATCTCTCATCTCTCATCTACCATCTCTCTTCAAAGGGTACTTAAACCATTTTTCAAAATATAGCAAGGTACAGGTAAGAATGATAATATTTAGAAGATCACCTTAGATAAATTTTTAAAAAGAGATCTGTAAATTCAAGTTTAGCTTTAAACAGATTTCAAATGTTTTTCAAATTTCAAGTCTTCCAATACTTCAAGGGCTGTCACAAGGAAGAGAATATGCATTTATTTCTTTGGCTCCCAAGGATAGGATGAAAAACAATGGATTGAAGCTTTGCACAGATACAAACTCAAAATAAGGATGAATGTCCTGACTCAGGCAGTTATTAAACACTTCCTCTGGAATTTTGGAGGCTCCGTCAAAGGAGGTTTTCAAGCAAAGGTTGGACCATCATTTTTCTAGGATGGCATGAAAATTCTTGTCCTGGGCACAGCATTGGACTAAAAGACCTCCAAGTTGCCTACCTATAATTCTATAAGTCATCTGAGCTACAAAGAATTCTACTGAAATGGCTCCAGATAAGTTGCTGAAGCAAGAAAGTATCACTAAGATATTAATATACATGAAAACTATATAGGAAGATGTATTTTTTCTAATTATAGTAGATTCAATCTATCTAATGATCTAACAAAAATAGTAATGCAAACACATTCTGAATCAGTCCTACAAAACATTTGACTGTTAATTGCAATGGTAGACTTTATTAAAATATAAAATGAATTTTCTTAAAACTATTCCAGAGAACTAGTTTGGTGTAGTGGTTAAAGGCATCAGGCTAGGAAGATGATAAATTCTACTCCCACCTTAGGCATGAAGCCAGCAGTCAGTTACTTCCTCTCAGCCCCCAAAAAGCAGGAGGTGGCAAACCACTTCTGAAAATCTTGCCAAGAATACTGCAGGGACTTGTCCAGGCAGTCATTAGGAGTCAATGCCGACTTGAATGCAACAACAAAAAACCCCTCAACCCTACTCCGAGTCCAGACTTTTTTTTTACTTTTTATGACCCTATAGTCCCTTAATTCAGGGTAAAATTGGAGTAACTGAATGGAGCTGAGCATTTACTGGCCAGATGCCCTTCCTGATGCCTACCTGGAGTTTGCAGCAGATACTTTTTTTCTGTGCCTTAAGACAAACATCTGTCGCTACCTAGGATTGAACTCTCAACCTTCTGAGTGGGAGGCCAGCATGTTCATCACTAGGCCACCACGCCATTCATTCCAAATCCAGAATATTGAGGAATAAATATTTAACCTTAATATTTTTTTTCGAAACAAGACAGTATTATGTTATAAAATATCTAGTGAGATGTAATAGGATTATCATGTAATTACTTAGAAATCTCTGTTGTTGGTTTTTGTTGTTGTAGTTTTATCCTTTTCTCACCTGGCCTTCCGCACAAACATCATCCAGTTACATTCATTTTCATCTGTTGTGATGATGTAGAATTCCAGAACATTATTGTGATACATCTGAAAGATAATCAGAGCCATCTCATTAGTTAAAAATCTTCCTACAAAGTGAAGAGAGCACCTTAGCAGCTGCATGAAGTTGTTTTGATTAGTCATCACTTCCTTCAGGCAAATCACAGGAGCACAAAACATAGGGTAACAGTCTCCACTCACTATGACTTAAAAAATCAGAGCAATACATATAGACGTTTGGATGAACGGGGATTATTTATTTTGTAACAAGGTACATTCTCTTCTTCCCTGTTTCCAGTTGAACCCTGGTACTTGGTAATGAATTGATGGAAGGGAGGACACCAGCAGCAAACACCACAGTGGTAAATCTGATTTTGGATTAGAATGCTTAAGATAACATTCCTATCCCAAGCACTATTTATTGGGGAAAAAAAGAGATAACTGTTCTGAAAAATATTTTTCTATATAAGTACAGAGAAGGAAATCCATAATCATTTTATTAATTAACAAAATACTTTAATCACTTATTGTAATAAATGCAGTGTTCCAATTTTGTATGTGCAGAACAGCCTAATGCAAACAAGTATTTTTTTTGCTTGGGATTGATTTAAAGAGAATATTATACAAACTGACCTTCCAAATGTGATTGGCTGCTTTGTCTGTCCAGTCAGCCACTTCTATTGAGTGACTTTGTTGACCAATGAGTGGTCCAAAGCAGGTACGGACAGGAATAGTTTCCCGAGTCCACACACCTATAAGTAGTTGAGAAAAAAATCATAGTCCTGTGATTACACCTATCAAATCCAGTAATAACAAGCAATATAATGATGTAGGTTTCACTGCTAGGCAAAAAACTATGAAAGCTTCTACAAAATAGAAATCACAGAAGATACCATATTTTTGTTGAGTAAACTTATAAAGGATCTTGCATTGATCCACTTTATTCTAATATCAATTCATTTAAGATTAAAATTTGTGAAAGTGAGATAGGGATTTTTGTGTCCAGGTGCTTGCCTGGCTTGTGGTATAAAGACTCACAAACAAAAAAATCTCTATACCAGAATCCAGGCAAGCACCTGGACACAAACAGAACCCCCCTAATACCTCCAGCCCAAACACGCCCCAGCCAGCTACCCAAATAAAACCTAGCTTTCTAATAAATAATTATCGGCCATTCACAAGAAACCAAGCTGCACTAAGAAACCCCAATGCACAAAACACAATGTTGCCAACTAATCAAGAACACAGCAACCTGAAGACCAATAAAAACAAACCTAGACTCCCAGCCAATCAGGATGAGGAAAAAACCATTCAAATAAAGCAGAAACCCATCACCAAATTCAAACAAAAAACGGCTGCCAAGCCTGACACACACTTAAAAGGAACCCAATACACAAGCCTGGGGATGGCAGATGAGATTCTGCCGAAACATCGCTATAATTTTAAAAGCACAAATATTAAGACATGGGAAAATACCCGAAGAAACCTAAATACCATACATATACATACATACATTATAAATATAAATAAATAAAAACTAAAGTACAATTACATTATTTTCTAGGAATACCTAAGCCTGTTTCCATTCACTACTAACCAGAGATTCATTACCAAAGTAAAGGTAATAGTCATACCTAAGGAAGGAGATCCAAGACAAGTTGATAATTGACAATACTGTCCACCTGAAAGCAATAATTCTCCATTATTATCAATTTGTACATATGAAATAGATTGGGAGATAAAAATAATATGGTGTCAGATTTTCAAATTTCTTTCAAATCATATTTTTTTTCCAGAAACTGTTTTAATTTTATGAAAGTATTTAGCATAACTGCTATGACTCTAATAACTGTTTGCATAAGAATAAACAGTTACCTGCAAAGGTTAGACATTCCCATTCAAGCATTTCAATGAATCCCCAAGTGAACAAAACCCAACACAACTTCAACAGGGTACAAAGTTAAGTACAAAACAGTATTTCTGGAAATCTGAATGCATATTTACGATTTATGTCCAATTGCTCACACTTTAAATAAGAAAGTGGGTATAGCAGGTGCAAAACTTTTAATTTAATTCAGTGCTATTTTTTATTGTAAAATCATTTGTAAAATCTATGTGCCCTATAGTTAATAGAATAAAACAATTCCATATATGAACAACTGTAAGTGGAACAGGAAATATATTGCGGGTAGAAGGAAGGAAGCATTCAACTGAATATCAGCACATATAGAAACTAAATAAAGTCAGTGAAGAGTTAGAACTGTAAAGAGATTGGATGTTTCAGTAAAGCAATGATTCAAAACTTATTTCCAAATTGATTATAGTTAACAGAGAAGGTACCAGTTCTGGAATAACCACAATCCTCAAGTTTGAATATTACTGAAAATGTGTATGAACAGCCGAAGCCTGAAGTGCATGCAAAGAGACCCAAGAATTATTTCGGAGTTAGGAAACTTATCTACAGAAAATGTTTGGAACGTGTTATACAAAGTACTGCATGAAAAAAAGTCCAAACATCTGCATCTGCAATTTTCGCTGTTTTATTTTGAATGTGTAAACAATTGCACTGTAATTGCATATAAAGTGGCAAAAATATATTTTTTACCACACAGAGCTTGCATTGTACTGTATGCTTAATAATAAAGCTCTGTCCAGATTCACATTCTTTCCCCAGTACAATAGTGGCTTTTATTGTCCAGCTATTGTATCAAATTGGGTTTCAAGATGAGAATATACAATATACAATAAACGTCTTACCAACTTCAGGTCCCATGACAGCATGGCGGATATTAAGCTGTTTTGGGAGAGAAAGTCTGGCCCTGCTTTCTATCGGAGTATCAGAAACAAAAGTCACTGGCCCATGATCTGGGCAATCTGATGGGTAAGCCTTGTCGCAGAGTGTGCACCCTGTGGATAAGAAAAAGGAATACAGAATGAGATAATTATTCCTGTCCTTTGCTGTAACACAGGGGTCCCCAACCCATTCTATGGCCCTTTGCCGGGCCACAGCTCATTTGGAACCGGCCTGCAGAAATGGTGGGTGAGTACACGTGTACATGCAGCTGCATTTGTGAAAGCGGCACACGCATGCACATGAAACCATTCCCTCTCTTCCCCCACCGCTGCCACCATCTCTGTAAGTATGTCAACCCAGAAAGGTTGGGGAATGCTGATATAACATACAGGCAAGATGAGGGTACCAAAAAACCTCACGCAATAATATTAGACCTATGCTTATTAAATGTTTGATGCTAGTGTCAAATAAAAATTGCCTTGAAGTGATAATTTTGTTTTACAGTCATTAGCTTTTGATGGGGAACAGGGTTAGAGACTTATTTATTTATTTATTTATTGGATTTAAATTGCCGCCTATTTGCCCATGGCGACTCAAGGCGGGTTACAGAATGTAAAACCATATTTAAAATAAAAAACAATAAAAACTAACAAAAAGAATCAAATTAATAAAGTACAATAGAACAAAATCTGAAAAAAAAAATCATCCACAACTCCCATTCCCTGCCCATTATAATATAGCGGACAACTAAAACTGAATATTTTTATGCACTATATTGAGTATAGTCCATATATTGATTCTTGGAAGCAAATTTATTTGCAAAATTGAGATATGGATTTGTTCATGAGGTAAACAGGTCATGTAATTGCAGGTGAATTTTCTTCTACAAATATATTCTGCGCATTCAACTTGCAAGTAAGTAAACGGTAGTTTTATAGGAACATGCACTATGCCAGTCCAGCTATGTACCATAGTTTTCTCTGATTTACATGCAATACTGACTAATGAAAGGTGCAGACAACTGAAGAGTAAAAATCATATTTCTTCCTTCTTTGGAAGAATTACAAATAAATAAATAAAAACAGGTGCATATATTTTGAATAATTATTAAGATGCTTATATGCATGCCAATTTCTCTGAACTGAGAGGAGAGAAAAAGTGAAAGTTGATCTGTTCAACAACTGAAACCCAGCAAAACAATCCACAGCTTATTTAGTTTTTGTATAGCTGTATCTATCCTAAATGAAAAAATTCTTTCTTCATAGTCAGGAAAGAGAAAGCCTAACTGGGATATTTTGCAAAGTAAATATACTTAAATATTTATTATACGTAGCAGGAACAAACAATCAGTACCTTTCAGATGTTTTGAATTTTAATTGTTACCATCTCTAGCCATTCTCTATAATGACTGATATTTAACTCACAGTAAAACCACACAGAAGCAGCATTGCGTTCCCCTGGCATCCAGAATGGGTTTCCATTGTATACTAAGCCAAGTTATAGTTAGTTCATTTTTGGCTTAATGAGCTATGCCAATTGTGATACATTAACCAGGGTTAAATGATGGCTTACAGTCCTATGTAAATTCAACCATTGGTTAAAATGTAAGCTTTTTCCATTGGATTTTGTCATAAGTACATACATTTAAAAACAGGATGAGTTAAACTTTTTGAATTAGCTGGAAAATACTGTTTAAGACATGTTGATGCATACTCACATATTGTAAACAATGTAGCCATATTCTCCTTATTGGAATTGGAATCTTCCATCTGCAATGATGATGGCACAAAAGTAAGATTGTCTGAAGAGACATCCACATGATTTTGTCCCATGGCTACTTCCTGGTTAATGGAGGATACAGTCACAGGCTCCAAGCTGAGACCCACTTCATGTAATGAGACAGATTCCAGGGAAGTGAGATTATGTGAGGTAGAAAGTGCAACACTCACAGAATTGCTGCTCATGGCCACTGTATGAATAGAGTCCCCAAGTGTTCGGTCAGGCATCCCATTGACACGGCCTGAAATGTGGTCAGTCTCCATAACAACAGGAAGTTCCAAACTGTTACCATGGATAGGGATGACACCATTATGCCCTACAGTTTCTGAGGCTAAACCCCCATCCACTGCTAGAGGCTCATGATTACGGCTGCCATTTGCAATCTGTGAATGATCCCCACCTACATCACTCATCCTAAGTTCTTCAGCCATTCTGTCGCTTGAGATTGGACTGGTAACTCTTGAAACACTTTCTATGGTAATTGTTGTGTCTAGAGCTACATCATGGCCATCACTGGGATGTAAACTTTGAGTATTATGTGCATTCACTGAACGAGAATCCATGGAGACAATGCCTGCTTCAAGACCCACAGATCCATTGGGCTGGTAAGGATCTAAGTCTGAAGGATTATTGGAGACAGATAAAGCTGAGTTACCGTCAACATTGATATTGTTGGGGTGAATACATTGAGGTGGAGGTCTGTCAGCTAAGTAAGATATGAGACCTGAAGAAGAGAAATGAAAAAAGGCAAAAATAAACACATTGTCTCATACTAACAAGTCGAGTTTTAAATTGTTGAACATAAGGAAAATTAATGTGCACTAGTGCATCCACTAAGCCTAAGGCTCAGTATTTACACCTCTCATGGCTTGCAAATAAAGAATCCATGTAATTTAAAGAATTATTAAGGCACGAGAAAAATAAATGTACAAGTTAACTTAAACAATTCCAGATCATAACTATTCTTGTAATAATTGTCAAATAAATAAAACAGAATTCATGTAACAGAATGTTCAACACATCCTTATTTACTTGTAAAATTGATATCCTGTTGCCTATTCAATTGAGGCTTTGCAACTTACAGTAAAGTGTTAACCATTGCCCCGTATTACTTATCCTAAGATTTAAACAAATTCTATTGTGTCACACTACATACCAGGTAGAATGTGTCTAAAGTAGCTGCTTTCTAGATGAGGGTAAGGTGGTGGAGGTAGGGTATAATTTCTCTCTGGTATACCACACATCACTCCTCGATCTCCAATGCCCATTGGAAGCATCAGAGACAAAGCAGATGGTAATGAGGGCCCCAAATTTGGAATTGCAACTGGTAAGCCTAATAAAAAAAAACCAAAATAATTAGTCTATAACTGATCAAACATTTGGAGAGACTGGATGCACAGAGATTAAGATTGGAAAGGTCATTAGAGATTTTGAGTTCAACTCAATTGGAGTAAACACGACTTAAAACATACAATCACCTTTGTTCACAATATTCTTATTGTGTACATTTTTATTGCAAGTTGACACTGACTTTTTTGTAATAATGGAAAGATACTCAGTTCTTGGAAATTACATCTAAGAGCCAGGGTGTGGGCAATAGCAAAACACTAAGGGAAAAGTATTAAAGCAAAATCGAGTTTACTAAAGCTGGGTTTAGACATGTCACACCATTTCCCAATTTGAAAAGCACAGAAATAAAAACATCAACAAAATTGCTCTTTATCTTGACTTGATACGTTACCTGGTGCTTGTATAGCATTATGGGTGGGTGAGGAGGTCAAAGCTATGTGATTTCCTGCAACAGCCAGGGCATTGCTCACAGAAGAAGCTGCCAGCTGTTCCATCCCCACAGGGCTCAGACTCATTTCATTCATCCTAGACAAAAAAGGGTATTTAAAATGTACACAGTAGTTTAGGCAAGCATGAGTTTGGCATTTAACATACATACAGAACACAGTTTCTACCACTTTTGAATGATGACAAGGGGCTGCATTCTAACATGGAAGGTCAAGGCAAAAACTAAATTTATTTAAATAAGTAATTTCAATATTATTAATGAATACAATCTTTTGTATGTACATCTGGTATAGAAAAATAGATCATGCTGTTTTGCTTTTCTTCCTCCACTCTCATCATCTTTTCTATTTCTCCAGCACATTTAATAAAAGACTCCAACGAAGCTGAGATAAAACTGGCCCAGAATCAAAGAACTGAGAAGCAGGATGTTTCAAGATTGTTTGCCAATGGGAAACCAGATTGCTAACAAATGCTGTAGCATTACAACATTGGAAAGAAAAAAAAAGTAGCTGTATAAGTTAAAATCTTTAAGAGTTTGCTAACATTTTGATTTCCCATGCTTCGGTGTGCTTCCTTAAAGGTTACCAAAACTAAACTGTAATAAATTCAATACCAGTAATACCAGTACCAGTAATAAATTAAGTATTAAATGTAAATCCTTGATTTAAAGAAAAACGATGTAATGGGCACTGGACATTTTATTGGGGCATCCCTCAACATAATAGACAAGTTCAGCAATCCAAACAGTTTAGATCAGATACCTAAATCTACATAATGTACATTGCGACATGGTTTACATAATTCAGGCCATTATATTATCATACAAATACTGTACATCACTTTGATTGACATCGTTCAAGTTAAACAGATATTTGGGAATTAACATCCCACCCCTGAATGATCTGTTAAATCTGTAATTTTCAAAATATTGCAGGCATTAATTCAGCAAATCACAGCAATTCCAAAAGCAGTTTCATGCTTATAATTCTTACATGTTAACTGCCATCTTTAAAATGTTGCTTGATTATTTAAAAAGCTACTAAGCACAAATAAAAATCACATTTTTTAGACTGATTGGAACTATAATTATTTTAGAAGGAAAAGATATTCATGAATTTTATCCTTATTGCCACACATTAGAATCCACTGCAAATTAGTTGTAAGTCAGCAAAACATTTGTAACCCTGATCATTATCTAATCAGAGTTAAGGATACAGAATGTTTTTTCTTCCCATCTTTGTTCATTTATGAATATTTAACTCATTTAGGCTTTGTAACTGACACTTTGATCAACATTGCCTGGATTCACACAACAGAAACACAAGAACTAGACTCTGAATCAGTCCCTTTTTTGAGCATACTTCCTATTTGAAAGAAAGCAAATTAACAGCAAGGATTCTCAGAGGCAAAATGGACAATGTCTTTCAAAGACAGATAATTTTGCTGCCACAAGCATCAATCAGTATTATAATTTGACCAAATTAAATACAGCAATATAGATTCATCCAGCCAAAGCTCACAAACAGTAAAACAGTAGAGATATACGTCACCTTTTTCTCAGAGGCAGGATCCCACTCCCAATGTCCCTGAGACTAACCCACATCTTTCATGGACAGATTATTTTCTTTGTTTCTTTTTATCTTTTTTCCCTCTTTCTTTTTTGAAAAAGGACCTGTCCTTTCATTGATTACAAAGAGGCAGAGGCGCCAAGAGGTACAGTTTAGAAAAAGAACCTCAGTCCAGGCCTAAGCTGTGCAATATATTGCCATCATTTGTGCACTGGATATAAATAAGAGCCCCTTGGTTGTGTATCATGATAGAAAAATCCCAGTTGTCTCAGGCCCTTTCCTATCAGGCAGGGACCTGATGGCCATACATCATATCAAAATATAGTCAATTAGTTTGTGGCAACTATATAACAGTAATAAAGAGAGATAACAACTAGGAAAATATGTCAATTTATCTTACACCTGAGTTTGTGACTAAATCTTCTTTCAACTACAGCTTTCATTTGCAAAAGGAATAATACTTGCAGATAGAATATGAAGATTTTATATTTCCCAATCTCAACAGTGCCTTCTTACAACATGTTTAGCATTGTTAGTATAGGAATAAGTTAGACAGATCACTTCACTTACAGTGAAATGAAAGAGTTAATATACTTAATAGGATCACTGCTCTTACACTGTCTTTATCAACAGCCTCAGGAGGTATTCATTCAACAACATCAACAATAAAAAAGGATTAGTCATCACATTATGTATAACAGTTCAATAAAACCTGACTGTATTTCTACAGGCTTCAGATCTTTTCAATGTATGTATACTTTGGCTTACATATATCTGGACTTTGACTTGTAATTAAGTAGATGCTAATTAACCAATAATAAGTCCCACAGCCTGAAAGAACATGTCATTTGGGAATCTTCTTTCACTTTGCTAAAATTTAGCTGAAGCGTTTCTGATTTATTCACAAAAATAACAGCAGTGGCTTATAATCTTTGAAGAAAACTGCTTCATCAAAGCCTAATGCCACAAGGACATTACTGGTCTTCATTACCCAATGGTTAGATTTAAAGACTTCTGCTGTTTAAATGCAGAGTAATTTATGATCTGCATAAATTCCAGTTTCCCCTCAGAGTGGTTTATTCGTGAAAGAACTCTAGACATGCTCAGAGACATTCACCTAAAACCTCAGGCATCAGAAACAAGATCAAGCCCCAGAATCATTTCATCATTTATACGAAGCCATACATACACCCATGCAATGATCCCACCTGGGATGCATCTGCCGGCGAGGCCGGGCCTACGAGGGCCCCAGTGGCGACGGCCGCCTTCTCCTCCACATCTGGTTCCCCTTTTCCAGCTTTTGTCCTCCAGCACCTTCCACTGCCGCGCTCCGGGCAAGCCAGCATCAGTCTAAGGTGGACCCAGCTACCTCCCGCAGCACCTGAGCCCCGGCCCCGGACACGCCACCGCCCACCGCCGGAACCAGAACCGCCTCATGGAGGTACCCTGCGGACCTCGGGGGGAACTGAAAAAATTGTAGCACCAACCGCTCAGAGCGCCCCCCTCCGGAAGGGGCGGTTGTGCACCTGCGGACGGGCTGCTCCTCTGACAGGAAGGTCAAAAGCGGCACGGAGATCACTTCCGGTTTATGCCAGATCCTGAAAACGCCCCCTGCCGCTCTTCTTGCTACTAATCTATCCTCCCTTTGCTGTAAAATGCAGACTTAACGGGCCGGCCGCCGCTCGCGCAAACTCCGTGTGAACATCTGCCTGGCTGCTTTCCGTTGGGTTTTCTCCTCAGGTCTTCGCTTCCAACCCGATCGGCGCTTCCTAGAATACGGAAAAAGTTTTCTGATGCAATTTGCTCAATGTGGTACTACGGTTTAAACTCCACTGAAGTTACTAGAATTTAAACCGGCAGTCTGTTTAGAGCAGGGTTTCTCAACCGTGGCGGTTTTAAGTTGCGTGGACTTCAACTCCCAGAATTCCCCAGTCAGCTTGGCTGGGAGTTGAAGTCACGCATCTTAAAAGTTGTCAAGATTGAGAAACACTGCTTTTTAGAGTACAAATCGAAGTTATATGCTGTGTGGAAGACATTAAAGTTATATGATAAATAATGTATAATGTAATGGAAATGGTTTTTTCTTTAATCACATAAGACCCCAAGACACCTTAGCTAAATATCGTTTATTTATATGCTATGTTAATTGTTATAGTAAAGGCTGATTGCAATTTAAAAGAGTCACTTTTTACAATTATGTTGTTTTTCTACTATATATTTAATTATAATAAAGCATGGCTTCAGAAGATAAATTGGATTTTTTTTTTTAAAAAAATGCTTTTTTCCCCTTTTTACAAGACATTTGGAGGAATACATTCCTACACATTTCAGAAAAAATATTTACATTGGATAGTGTTATGCTATAGTGTTCTGACATAGAATTGGGAAAATTGGGTGCTGAATGTGCTATTTACATCCACAATACAGCCAAACTAAAAGGCCAGATCAGAAAGCCATGACCCACTGGTTTCTTGCAGAAATATTTTCCAAAGCTTACAATACTATAACTAGCTACTTTGACCACCAATTGTAAAAAATCACCACACAGGATAGGAAAAACAGTTCCCTCCTTCCTCCAAGAAGGGTATATGGCTGTCAGGAAAACCCACTATAAGAGGGCATGACAAAATACAGCATCTGTATCTCCTCTGACAGCTGAAAATATAGTGAATTTCTCATAGCAAGCAATGTATAACAAGGCGGTCAGCCTTCCTGGAGCTGAGTCTGTATGCACATTATGAACAATTATCTCACATGCATACAAGCTGCATGCTTTATTTTAAAAATCTATACATTTCATTCAGAATCAAACAGCAGTTTCTCCCTAAACATGGTTTTGTCCTTTTGTAATCCTCGAAGTTTCAAAGGCAAATGCCACAGAAAAATGTGTTTGCAGGAAGAGACCAGCAAGCATTTACTCCTGGTACCAATCCCTTCAAAGAGATTCATCTTTAAAAATCTTTTTTTTCCCCATTCCTAAATGACCAGTTTCTTTTTAGGTACATGAGTTCTTTATTGTAAACTGCCCAGTGTAGACATGTAAAAAATAAATTTATTTTACTGTATTGCGGAACAGCAGGTAGTTCAGAAGTCAACATTTCTTCACAAATTCCAAACATGGTCAGCTCTACTGCTTCCTTTTTATATAAAGGACAATATTTAAACACTATGAAAAATAGGTAAATAATATAAAGGTATCTGTGTGCATAAAATGGAGAAACACAATGCTACTGTAAAGAACTTTTTAAATAAATGTTTTCTTGGGGCAAATAAAGCTGTACTCCAAATATTCCAAAGGACAAGTTATAATCTTCTATATAAAGAAGAACACACAAAGTGCATTAAATATACTTAGTAATATTAACATTGTAGTCAGCAGCATCTGACTACAGAGGTTGTTGACTACAAAGTAAAATGATGACACCAAAATGGTGGCATACATAGTGATGCTTCATGCAGATGCTGTTTTCATGATAATTTTGCCCTTATGCTCTCCTGCCCTTTCTGTGGTCTCTTCTGTGGATCCAAGTAGCAGAAATTTTAGTTCAGTTCATAAAAAAAACATTCTTTTTTGTTAAACACTACAACAATTTCATCAAAAAAGAAAAAAATAGAGTGATCCATTAAAAACTGTGAATGAAGCATTGGCAGCATTGAACAAGGAAATAAAAAATTATTCCAGTTCTACATCCATTTCCATGTGGAGAAAAGGAAAATCGGAATGGTTTGGGGGAAACCTAAAAAGCTAAGGATGTCTTTTTAAAAAGAAAAAAACCTACCTAGAGACTGAGTCAACTTGTTTAAATTAGTATCTAGCACAATTATATTTATCATATTTACTTATATTACAGTTTGAAGAACAATTCCTATCCCTTTTTCGTAAGCTAAATAGGACATGCGCAATAGGAAACTATTCAGTGAAATACATTTGTTTTGAAGTGGAAAATGTTAACATTTCCTTTTGTTTCATGAACAATGCCATTCTTAAAGTCTCCCAAGTTACAACATTTTCAAACAGAATTCATTTCTTTTCCTGAAAAGATTGAAATCGCTTTAAAAAAAACTAGTAAAAGTGTATTTTTAAATATGGCTAGAACTGTGCCATAAGGGATGTATATAAAACAGGGAATAATTATAATGGAACCAAAATAATCCATTTAATAGTGACAATGGTGCATACAATTTATATAATATAATTCGAAGTACAGATGATTGCTCCAAGACTCATTATATCTACAATTTACCAGAGAGAATAAGGGGAAAGGGTTAGAGTTAGATGAAAAAAGAATAAGATGCCCTTGTTGCAGTTGCATATATTGAATTTAGCAAATAGCCTCTTTTGCTACAGCACACATCTTAAAGAATGCAAGACAATTCCTACCAACCATGTTTGGAAATATGCTTCATCTGTCACATTCTCAACCACAAGGGAGCACTCTTTCCCTTAATAGCCTGTATCTCACATTTCTGCACACATTCACACACACATGGACATACACATCACATAACTTGTCAGATGAAGATTAAATCTGCAAACTTCTATGAACTGACTGATGCCATTATTAAGAACAGCAGAAGCTGCAAAATCTGCCCTCATGCTTTGGATTTCAGTATAGAAAGCCCTTGGCTAGTTTTTTTTCAGCTTACAGGAGATCCTCAATTTTTGAGGAGAAAGAGGTGGAGCTTTGGCAACTCTTGGCAAATGCCTGCAAACTTTTCAAGTTATCCATCCTTTTGGAGGCAGGTAATATCAAAGGGCACTGCGGATTACAATATGTGAGGAGTGTTTACAGCCTGGAAGATTATTTATTTTTGGTTTTATCTCTATAGTCACACATCCAAGCTTGAAGAAAAGAAACACAGGAACCCTCTCATTATCTTTTGAAATATGAAGATCAGAGGAAAACCTGGGTTTTAAAGTGTGGAGTGATGCTCCTAGAAGCCTGCTTATAAATTAGAAGGCATTCTGATTCACTAATAATAGACTAAGGAACAGAACTGATACTTGGTAGAAGAGCAGAATTTCAGGGTAATTTTTACTACCATGGACCTTAAGCCCAATACCTACTTGCCTGATCACCATAAATTGTGGAGCAGAACATCTGGCCTATTTGACTTCTCCTTCAATGGATAAATTCCAAAAAGCCTATTCTGGAATTTGACTCTGAATCGCTTCTAAGATGGGGAGTAAGAAAGATGATGGGCTCTTGAACCGGATCTCATGTTCAGGACCGGCATCTCTTGGAAGCAGTCATGTTACGGGTTCTCATGGTTTACCACTCCGGGAACCATTTGGCATCCCTCTTCCTTTTGGACAAACGTACTGGGACCATCAACCTTACAATGGATATTCAGGAAGATTCTCTTATTTACCCTTTTCTGGGTATGTGGGAGTTTACGACTACTCGTTTGAGCCAGCTTTCATTCGGAAAAGGAATGAGAGGGAAAGGCAGAGGGTTCGTTGTGTGAATGAAGGCTATGCACGCCTCAGAGACCATCTTCCCAAAGAGCTTGCTGAGAAGCGTCTCAGCAAAGTGGAGACTTTGAAAGCTGCCATCACTTACATCAAACACCTTCAGAATTTGCTGGAATATCATCCTTTAGGAACAAATAATAAGACAGCCATTCCAGCTACAGATGCACCAGGAGTTTCTGGTCCTAGTTTAAGAAGAGAATGTAACAGTGATGGAGAATCTAAAACTTCATTAGCTTCATCTCCTTACAGTGATTGAGGAAGTTTGTAGTTAGGAAAACAGTCTATAGAAACAAACAACCTCATGACCATCGATCTCTTTTTTTGGGGAAAAAAACCCAAAGAATTTCCAATCTTTTGTGGGTCACCTGGAGGACAAAAATTCATCTCTAGCAAAAGGCTGGAAAAAGATATTGAGAAGACTGTTTCCAGTATAATTCATTCTTTGGCAATCTTCAGGTGTTTATGTAAGAAACATATAACATAGTCCCTAACATTTCTTTATTTATGATATTGAATATTTTATGACTGAACTATCTTTTCTAAAATTGGAAACATTATTGACTTGTAATCTTTGTTTTGTTTTGGTTTAGTTAAAGACAACAATAAAGTCAGGTGTGTTTTTCTACCTGTCTTGTAACAATGCTCTACTTGTTAGAAAACTCTGTCCAGGTATAGTGGACCCTGGACAATAATGCTGTAATTATTAATCATAATTAGCAGAGCATTATCTCTAAATAAAGTGA